CTCTCAGAGACCTCTTCCTCTTCCCGCTCTTCCCACAGCTCCTCCAGAAGAGCATACAAGGCCATGGGGCCATCAGAGGCAGACCCCTGGCCTTCAGCCCTTGCTGCAAAGTCCTGGTCATTTAGGATGCCCCGAGCAGTGCCAACCGTTTCGGCACCATCATCTGCCACATGGGGCACGGCCACAGGCATGGGAGGAGCCAATGACTCTGCATCTTCAGGTGCTGACGCAGGGAGAATCGCACATTGACTCTCCTCACAGGAGCTTCCCAGCGATGGAGAAGTTGAGAAGCCGGTGTCCTCAGACGCTGATGTGGGGAGAGGCTCACTGTGCTCCTGGTTCCTGGCAACTCCGGCCTGGGGACAAGCTGCTGGCTCTGCATCTGAGTCTTCTGACAGGGCAGGAGACACAGGCTCCGGGTAGCCATCTGCCTCTCCTGCGGCATCTCTGGCCATGCTACCGGGCAAGCTGGGCACCTTCTGGGGGCCTGCATCAGAGTCTTCTGACAGGCCAGGAGACACACACTTCAGGAAGCTGTCTGACTCTCCTGTGGCGTCTCCGGCCATGCTGCCGGGCCAGCTGGGCCCCTGATGGGGGCCTGCACCTGACTGCTGGCTGAGTCTTGGCAGAAGTGGGATGCCACAGATGGCGTGGAAGATGTCTTCCTCCAGGTAGGAGAGAAGCTCTCCTGACAGGTCTTCATACGTTTCAGAATCATTGTCTTCCTCCACCTCCTCCAGATCCTCTATCTTGATTTGCATGACCACACAGCGCTTCAGAGCATCCTCAGGCCCTGTGCGCAGCGGCTTGCCACGTGGAAGTTGCAGGGGCGGCAGACGGCCCTGCCTTGCCATCGACCGTTCCCAGAGCCCTTCGGCGCACCTCTGCAGGGCAACTGGTTCACAGGCCTCGCCAGCAGCCCTGGTGCCCCATTGTGCAGGGGGATCAGGCCCTGGCTGAGCTGCAGGGGCCTTGCAACCCCACGCGGCCTGCCCCTGGGTTGTTCTTGCCGCTGACTCCAGACCAGTGGTGTCTGCAAGGTGCCCCCGTGCCGCCAGCTGCTGGCCGGGTTCCCAGCTTGCAGCTATGGCGTGACTCGGGACCCCTGACACAGACGCCTGGACCGAGGACTCCAGAGCAACGCCATGGGCTGTGGGGCTGTGTGGGGCAGCCCCCCACCTCTCAGCCCTCACTGGCATGCTCCACTCATCAGGGATCCTCCAAGCAGGTGGCACAAGCTCTCGGTGGCTGCCGGCCGCGAGGCCCACGGCATGTGCTCCGCTTCTCAGAGAAGGCCTGGGGGCTGCTCCTGTCAGAGCAGGCAGCTTGGTGACATTTGCAGAGCCTGCTGTTGGAGCTGCAAGGGCATGCCAGGGTGCAGCTGCCTGCGTCGCTTCAAGCCTTGGGAGAGACGACAGGTCTGGCATGGGCGCTCTTTCTCGCCCTGTGACCCTGCTGCAGGGCAGTGCCTGCCAGCCCTCCAGCCTGTCCGTCTGCAAGAGAAGATGTGGAGGAAGGCCGTGTGACTGTGGTCCTTTTCCCCTGCATCCCAGCGGGAAACCCCCTGCGCCCAGGCCGTCCTGCCAGCTACGGGGGCAGTGCTGAGCCCTGTGGGTGGCTGCCGCCCTGCTCCCAGAGCCAGCTTAGGAGAGGGCTGGACCCCACGTGGCCCTCACCAGCTCCAGGGAGCACCCCTGACATAGCTGGGCAGCCTGCCAGGCACAGCATGGTGCCCTCAGCTTGCTGGGGGGCTGGTCCCACCCGTCCCCTCCGGTACCTCCCGCCTTGCCAGGGTCGGAAAGGCGTTCGGCCAAGTATCCCTCGAGCTCCCTACCTGTGTGCAGAGGCTCCGAGTGCTCTGTGAGCTCGCTGGGCTGGGGAGCTGTGGCAGCCTGTCCCCGTGGAGGGACGAGACCGTGGTCCAGCTGGCAGCCGGCGGCGGCTGCCTCTGGCGCACCTGTGGGGAGAAGGACGAGGCGTGGGATGGAGGTGGCTGCGCTGGCACAAAGGCCCCCGCAGTGCTGCCAAGCCCGGCCCTGGCATCGAGGCAGCTCCTGGCCACGACAGCCAGGCTGAGCTCAGTTCCGAGCTGCTCTCCGCCTCTGGGGCATCGCTGCGGGGCCGCGCGGGCCTCGGCCATCCCAGGGCGGGCTCTGCCCCAGAGAAACCCCCGGAGCCGGGCACGGCCGGCCACCTTCCCCCCCCAGCCCTCCCCCACCCCCCCACCGCCAGGCTCTCTCTCCCTCCAGCCCCGGCCCTCACCTGGCGGCGCTTGTGCAGGCGTGGCAGCCCCTCATGGGGCTGGGAGCGGGCATTCGCCTCCTGCTTCTTGGGCATCTTCGGGGTCCTCTGCCGGACACCTGCCACGGGCACCCAGGGGAGACACTGGCTCCTGATGGAGCCGCTCTCCTGGGAGTGGGCACCCTAGGGCTCTGGCCCTGTAAGAGGCCCCACGGCCGCTGGGTGGACCCCGTCTCACAATGGCCTCTGGGCAAGATGCCGCCCCTGGTCACAAAGGCCTGGCGGTCACCACGGAGATGACCCGCCCGTTTGCTGGCAGCCCCCTGCGGACAGGGACTCACAGGCCCACGGACTTGCTGACAGGCTGAGCTGTGGCTGTGCCGGGGCCGCTGCAGAGCCGGCTGGCACCGGCTGGCACCGGCCGGCACCGGCTGTGGCCGGCTGTGGCAGGTACACCTGCCCAACGGGAAGCGAAACTTCTCCAGGCAGGGAGGAGAGGAAAAAACAACCAAACCCTAGAGGCCGGCCGCAGGTTGAAAGCCGAACTGACCAGTCCGACACACGTCAGGTCCACGGAAGCGTGGCCCTTTTGGCCAAGGGGGATTAACACGACCACAGGTCGGATTCGACGAGGGTACAAAGGGGGCCCCGGCGGAGGATGTTTTGAGTCAGTCCTCCTCGGAGCAGCGGGTCTGCAGTGGGGGACTCTCCCTTTGGGTCGGGACGCCGCCCTAGGTAACTCCTCAAGGTTGAGAGCCCTCATCTTTTAGGTGACCGATATGCGCATTTTGAGTCATCCTTTCTAAGCCTTAAGAATTCCTAAGTCGGCTGTGTAGTACTAATTGCCCTTACATCATCGAGCCTCTGGTTCACTCCTGTTACTGGAGTTTTAACTAACTTTTTCTACTGAAGAATAAATCTGATTTTTCACACCTGTTGGATTCGATTGTGTGAGCCTCCGTAACGCCGGCACAGGGCAGCCCCTGGTCTCCTCGCACAGAGGCCACCCCTGCAGCCCCCCACTGCCAGCACCTCACCACATACACCCAGTCCCAGTGGCCCCCCCCCGGCTACAGTCCTCTGTTCATTTAGCAACTCCCAGTGTCACCACGAGGGCCTTTATTCCCAGGAAGGCCACTAGTGAGACTGAACGTACACACGTGGGCAAGGCAGAGCCCTCCAGCAGCTGGGCTCAGGCTGAGAGCCTGCCCAGTAGCTGGCCCCCGGGTCCCAGTCTCCCCAGTTGCTGGCCCCTGCGTGTAGGAGCCCCCGAGGCCGCAGGCCCTGTCCTGCTGCTGGTACAGACCGTCCCACTCCCCCCTGAGCCGGACGCGACTCCCCTGGTCCCATAGCCGACCCACCGTGCTCTCACCACTAGAGACACCCAGGGTCTCGCACAGCCAGGGCTGGCCGGCAGACACCCGCGCACCCCCTTGCTCCCAGGCCATGTCATCTGCATCTTGGGCCAACAGCCATTCTGATTTTGAATTTATCTTCTCACTGGCTAGGGAGTTGCAAACTCCACACTGGAGGGATCATTCAGACCTGGCCATGTTACTGAGTGGATACAGTTGGCCATGGGATGGGGAAGAGGGTGCTTCACTGGGGACATGGTTCGGTTCTGAGGGTGGTATTGCAGTTGCCTGGTAGCTCTTGGGAGGGACTTGGCTAGGGCAGAGAAATGGGCCTCTAGTGAACTCATGGAGTTCAGCAGAGGCAAGCCCCAAGGACCCCCATGGGATCTCCATCACAATGGCATTTGGGCACAATGCTGCCCCTCATCACAAAGGCCTGGTGGTCACCATGGGGACCTCTATACCCATGTCCTGGCAGTGCCCAGGGGGACACAGATCTGCATGAAAAATGCCAAGTGTTATGTTCTGTTTACCTAATTGATTACCATGACTGTTAATATAACAGTGCCTTCCATAGCTTTCTTGGGATTCTGGAGAAGTCCCAGTCCACTGGAAGCTGGCAAATGTCCCAGTTTTAAAGAAGAGTAAGAAGGAAGACCCTTCTAATTACAGAGCTGTCAGTCTCACTTCAGTGGCTGGTAAAATTACAGAGAAGTTTATTCTGGGAGTTATTGAAAAACACTTGAGGACAATATAGTTATGGGTCATAGCCAGCACGGTTTCACAAGGGGAAAGGCCTGCTTAACCAATGTAATTTCCTTTTATGACAAGGCCACCCATCTAAGTGACCAAGAGAAGCCAGCAGATGTGGGGGTTTTGGATTTTAGCAAAGGTTTTGATACTGTATCTCACAGTATCCTTCTGGATAAACTGTCCAGCACACAGCTAGACAAGTTTGTAATTCGTCGGGTGAGCAACTGTCTGATGGGTTGGGCTCAAAGAGTTACAGGCTGCGGGGCAGTCACCAGTGGGATTCCCCAGGGCTCAACTTTAGTGCCAGTGCTCTTTAATGCTTTTATAAATGATCTGGACACAGGAATTGAATGTACATTAAGTAAGTTTGCCAATGATACTAAACTAGGAGGAGCTGTGGATTCCCTTGAGGGTAGAGAGGCCTTACAGAGAGATCCGGATAGACTACAGAGCTGGGCAATCACCAACTGCATGGAATTTAACAAGAGCAAGTGCCAGATTCTCCACCTGTGATGGGGTAATCCTGGTTATTTGTACAAATTGCAGGATGAGAGGCTGGAGAGCAGCCCCATGGAAAGAGATCTGGGTGTTTGGGTTGATGGCAAGTTGAATATGAGTCAACAGTGTGCTCTGGCAGCCAAAAGGGCTAACCGTGTCCTTGGGTGCCTGAAGCACAGCACAGCTAGCCAGTCGAGGGAGCTGATTGTCCCATTCTACACTGCATTGGCATGGCCCCCACCTCAAGTACTGTGTGCAGTTTTGGGCACCACAATGTAAGAAGGACATCAAAGTATTAGTGTGTCCAGAGGAGGGCAACCAAGATGGTGAAAGGTCTTGAGGGCAACACTTATGAGGAGCGGCTGAGGTCACTTGGCTTGTTCAGCTTGGAGAAGAGAAGGCTGAGGGGTGACCTCATCGCAGTCTATAACTTCCTCGAAGGGGGCAGTGGAGGGGAAGGTGCTGATCTCCTCTCTCTGGTGACCAGCAACAGGACACAAGGAAATGGAGTGAAGCTCCATCAAGGGAAGTTCAGATTGGACATTAGGAAAAGGTTCTTCACTGAGAGGGTGGTCGGTAACCAGAACAGGCTCCCCAAGGAAGTGGTCACAGCACCAAGCCTGTCAGAGCACAAGGAGCATCTGGTTGATGCTCTTAGTCATATTGTTTAGTTTTAGGTAGTCCTGCAAGGAGCAGGGAGTTGGACTTGATGATCCTTACGGGTCCCTTCCAACCTGAGATATTCTATGATTCTATGATTCTTCCTCTCCCCTTCTTCTCTGTGACATTTACAACTAATGGGTAATTACAGTGATGGGAAGTGAAATTCTCATTCTTACATTGAGACTGCCTGGACTTTTTTTTTTCCTGGTCAACTTCAACCAGTCTCTCTCTGGAGTACACCTGGGCTGTGCCACCAAGGGTGTTAGACTGCCAGCTCTCCCCAAGCCTTCATCTGCTCCTCACCCACCTCAGGCAGGACCTGAACTGGGCTCCAACACAGAGATATGTTCAAGTTCATGAGCTCATGGTCAGGTGCAGCTCTCCATGATCAAATCTCAGGTGAAACTTTCTAGACTAGTTAGGCATTCAACAATTTATTTTTTTTTTCAACAAGGAATTGGCCTCTCATTATTCAAAGATGAAAAGTGAGGTAGATTTCAGATGACTTTTAGCCCAAACAGAGTGTAAGACTATGAGATCTTATGGAAACGTTTATGTGCTATATCGATGGTGTAGCATATTACCATCTGGTGAAAACTTAATGTAATTGCAGTTTGAACTTTGAGTGCTGTGGTGAGAAACTGCTTGTCCAGGTATTTCTACTATAATTGCCACTGTGATCTCTCAGCAGGATGGACCCAGGCAGAGACTGTCTAAATGGACTTAGAACCTCTTTGCATTGATACATACTCTAATGTTATTATGTGTTAAAAAGTGTGATTTCAGACACTGACTTCTCCACTTCCTGAGCATTTCTTGATTAGCGCAAGGCACATCTATGTCAGGATATGTTTTGGAGCAGCCCTTTGCCATTTAGGCTGTTATATACCAGCTTGGAGACTAAGACAAATGTGAAACTATTTTAAATATATAGATTGCTATAAATAAAAAGGGAACAGGTAAGTTTTGTATATGACTAAGAAGCAGCTTCTCAAAGTAATTATTGTATTTTAGTGGTGTTTCTACAATTGGAATGATTTCTTAGATGTAATCTTCAGATTTGAACAGAACAGCTTTCTTTTACACTGATGTAAATTGGGCAGCCAGCATCAGCTCAGCTGGACTATACTAATTTATCAACATGTGCATACCACACTTTTTAGCCATGTTTTTGAACTCCTGAGCTCAGTGGGAACCTTCTAGTTGGAGACATTACAGAGTCCTAGGTAATCCAGGGAATATTTTTAGGATTAAGTAAATCACTCTAGAACAACATGTTGTCTTCCTTTAAAACATTTTCCCATTAAAATGACATGCACAGCTATATATGAATGCTAATTTTAAAAAAGGTTGTTTATGAGAAACAGCAATAAACCCCTATTAAATTAGCTTATTACTGAATTAATGTACTATCTTGATTCTGCCAGTAGTTGAACAGATGTTCCGGAGAAAGGTGCATGAATATCTTTTGATACCAGTCATTACATAGCCAGCTACCTGAGGGAAGCCTTCTTTAAATACACAGCCAATTACTGCAGATTATCCCTTTCCAAAATGAAGAAAGCCCTACATCTAAATTTATTATGTTTTCCCTTATTTTTGCTGCATAAGCTCAACGATTCTATTAAGTGGTCACTAGTAATATATCTACTATGACATAAGATGATAAATGATGTTTGGAGTCTTATTTAGTGTATTACAGACTATTTTTCTTATTATAGAAAAGCACAATGTTCCGGACTGTAAAATGAGAATCTATTTCAGTTTAACAGAAAAGCTTGTGATACTTCACAATTAAAGATGTCTTGCTGTGATGCTTAAGCAGATGATCTCGATTCCTCTAGTTTTGCTGGTTTTCTTT